TGCCTGATATTTTTGTTTGTTGTTTGTTTTTGAGACACAGTCTCCCCCTATAGCCTAGATTGGTCTTAAACTCATGGCAATCCTCCTGCCTCAGCTTCCCAGCTGTTGGAACTGTAGGTATAAGCCACCATGCCTGACTTCCAAAGTGTTAAGGGAGCAAGTAAAGACTAAGATTTGCCAGTTGCCAGCAATATAGCATCACATACAATACACTTCTCTCTTTGAAGATTACACAGACACAGATACACACACACAAACACATATAAAAGTGTTTGGAAACACTACTGCTAATTTAAAATATTTTTGGTGTTATATTTAGAGATGAAGCTTTTACATTTTAAAAGTAGGACAACTGTGAAACTATCATGCAGAATATTTACTTTTCATGATATGACTTAACAACCCAAGACCAGAATCACTTAAAATTACATTCCCTAGCCAAGCATGGTAGGTTAGCTCTGAAATTCTAGCCCTCAGGAGGCTGAAGCAGGAGGATTGATATGAGTTAAGAGACTAGCCTGAGCTATACAGTTAGTTCCAGGCCAGCATGGGCTGCAGAGTGAGACCCTGTATCAGAAACAAATCACAACAGAAAGACTATTTTCCCTTATTCCCTTCCCTTCCCTTCATGCGTACCTGACACTACTTTTATCTTATGAATACTTCTTGCCGAGAGCTTGGTTCACCTGCATGATCACGTGTTGCAGAAGGCTCTACTGCAATAGAGCTGGAAATGTGGCCATTCACTCAAGCTTCTTACCGGAAAAGCTTCATGAGTCCCCAGATCTCAGAGTCCTCATGAGTCAAATGAAATGATTAAACTATGTTCCATGTGGGCATGTACCCTGCATGTATCCTGCAATCTAAGTTTGCATTAGAAAATGGGTTTCATTCACACCCAATGTTTAGTGACAAATTTGTATCCAGATAGCCTAAAGTTTTCAATAACTAGGTAACCCTTTGGGCTTTTCTAGTCAACAAATGATGAGCACTTACTTTTGGAGAATTAAAAATGGCCACAAATTCTTTGCAAGTCTTCCCATCAAAGGTGGTGTCTATTCCCCCACTTCTGGATTTTGGGCTAGTTTTATTACTTGCTTTGGTTTACAGATGATGTGAAAGTCAAAGTATATAATACCTAAGCCAAAGGAGAGTCTTGTGGGTTCTTTTTCACTTATTTGAGGCTACATAATCTGGAACTGTGAAGGCTCAACTCATCACCAGGCAACTTGGAGACATGAATGAGGCATCTGTGTTAGACATCTTTCTCTCTATATAACAAAATACCTGAGATAATAAACTTATAAAAAGAAGAAGTTTCTTTTAGCTCACAGTTTTGGAGGTTCCAGTCCATGAACGGTTGGTCCCATTGCTGTGAGGACTGTGGCGAGTTAATACATCATGGTGGGAGCACATGGTCGAACCAAACTGCTCATCTCATGGCCAGGAAGGAAGCAAAAAGGAGGAGTTTGGGGGTCCCATAGTTCTTCCAAAGGCACACCCCCAGTTACCTGAGTCTGTCTCACTAGGTCCTACAACTTTGTTTCTTTGAGCCCCAGGCTGGCCTCAAATGCCTGATCTTCCTGATTCTGCTAAGTGTTGAGATTACAGGCATGTACCACCACACCTGCCTAGTTCTCTCTTAAAGGTTTAACTCCCTCCCAACATTGTTACCCTAGTGATCAAAACTTCTTAATACATGGACTTTGGGGGACATTTAAGATTCAAACTACAGTACCTTCCAAGAGCAAAAGGCCTCAGCCAACTTGCTCACCAAATACAAATGTATATGCAGACCCATTGGCATCTATGGGCAGTGGTTGGTCATATCAGCAAAATGTTGCCCAAGCTGACAGGTCATAGGGCCATGAGCAAATAAGAGGGGCTATTCTAAGCCCTGATTCAGGGTGGCTTGTTAGACAACAAAGGGTAGCTAATATGCTATTCTGGGTCAGGCAAAGGGATAATGTGGGTACCAAGACACAGTCCCTGTTCTACAGATGCTGAGGGTCTAGGTAGGGAGACAGACATGTAACTGAACTGTCCTTGTATATGTCATTGGTGCTAGGATGGGGGTTTGGATTGGATTTCAGGGTCCAAGGGGATTTAGAGAATTTAGAAAGGAGGCATCTTTGGGCAGCTGGCAAAGATGTCTCAAAGAAGATAATACCCAAAAGTAATTTTTCCTGGACAAAGAAGGAAAAAGAACATTCTAGGGAGAAGATTCTGTGTATGTAAACATTGAATCAGTGAGACAAGGTTATAGGGCAGTAGGGGTATTCATTTTAATTTCTATGTGAGTATGAGGGGGGTGAAGGAGTAGCCTTAACTCATAACCTTAAGAGAATCTCTGAGGCATGAGGGTTAGTGTGAGTTTGAGACCACATTGTGCTACTTAGGAAGACCCTATCTAAAAAAAAAAACCAAAAAAAACAAAAAAAAACAAAACCAAACCAAATAATGTCTATGGCATTTGGCTTTAAAACAGGATGAGTAGAATCAAAGAAGGAAACAGTTGACTACCTCCCTGACAGGCAGGGGGAGGCTATGTGGAGTACAGAGAGATGCTTGTCTGGCTCAAGAGAAGTTAAAGGATCTTGGGCTCAAGGCAACAGTCATCAGGAGTTGAATAAAAGTTGGAGCAGCAAGAAAAGAAAGGCATTTCATCGAAGGGACAGAAAGGACCTAGGACTCACTGTTAAAGGTGCTGGATTAACTCAGTGTGGTGGTGCACGCCTGTAATACCACTGGGAGGGGGAGGATCAGGAGCTTGAGGTCAGCCTGGGCTACATGTTTCAAAATAAAGAAAAGTTATAAAATAATCTTTAAATCCGGGTGGTACATTCTCTCAATTAGTAGCTGTACCGCCTTGGGCATATGAAGAACCCACCTGTTTATGAGTCAGTTTCTTAGCTATAAAACAGGAGTGGTGGTGACATTCTCAGGCCAATAAAAAATGACAAAGTCTTAGTACAGCACGGAGTGAGCCCTAAATATAAGACCCCTAAATAGGAAGCCTGGAGAGATGGAACTGGGGACTTGAGCATGAAACAGTCTGTAGTACATGGTACTTCACACAGGTGTTTGAACTTCGAGAACATTTTCCAACCTGCTCAGACCTAGCTTCCTCACCTGAAAATGCAGGTGATAAGATCTATCTTGAAAGGCTGTGATGAGAACTAAAGGAGAGCCATGGACATTAAATGCCACAACACAGAGCCTCGCCCACAGTAGAAACACACTCATACAGAGAGAGCCCTTCTCAAATACAGACTGACAGTATGTGTCAGACATCCCACAGGACTTCAAAATTAAAAGTTGGAGTGCCAGAAATGTATATAAAATCTTTAGCATGGCAATCCATTATACCATTACCAATGCACATGATAACACTAAGAAATGACTGAGGCACAACACTTGTATCACATGTTAGTGCTTAATAAGAAGGCAACCTCTTTGTTCTAAATTCATTATGTACAATGAAAAGAAAATTAGCATTTTATAACGCTCTAATTTGGCACTTTGAGGAAGTCCCTCTGTATACCAAGACCTCAAATATAGTTTTCTTCCAGGATCAGGCTGTCTTTGAACTCCTGATTTTTCTGCCTCCACCTCCTGAGTACTCGGGTTACAGGCATGTGCTACCACAATACCCATGTATACAAATGACCTAAAAAGTTATAACACAAAATGGGGATTTCAGTGAAAAAGTCCCCCTTAAATGAGCTGCATACCCTGTCCCCAGAATACGTTACAACAAAAAGCTTGTAAAATTTCAGGTTAAGAAGGCAATTCAGTTTTAAGTTTTGTCCCACCTATGCCAAGTTCATACAGAACATCTCCCTTGAAAATGGACACCTCCAAAGTGAAATCTTAGCTTTGTATCTTACACAAGTATATACAAAGTTCTTTGTTTTCACATTCAGGGTTTCAGATGAACTCTAGAAAGCTGCTGTAGACAATTTACAGAGCAAAATGATTCAGACTCAGTAAGGGAAAAGGGGAGGAGGCAGTCCTGGCGGCATCTCCCTGTGCATACTTACCCCATTTGTTTTATTTTTTACCTCATGCCATAATTGAAACAGGTTAAGCTGAAAGTTGGTACAAATGGCAGAAATTAAGGAAATGTCATTAGCCAGGGTTACCTAGCAAAACCCTGTCAAAATAAATCAAAATAAAGAAACAAAGTCACTTTATGATGGCTTTTAAGCAGTTGAACATTTAACCTTCCCGGAAATTCTGGTTAGCAGATCACATTCCTAGGGACTTTGATTCCATTTGAAGGTGGGAGAAATTTAGACCTATCTAACATTTCAAGCTAATTTTTTTTGAGACAGGGTCTCCCTGTAGCACCAGCTGACCTGGAACTCCCTATGTAAACCAGGCTGGCCTTGATCTCTCAGAGATCTGCCTGTTTCTGGGATTAAAGGCATGCACCACTAAGCTCGGAACTCTCCCCCTCTCTCTCTCTCTCAACATGGGGTCTCACTATATTGCCCAGTCTGGCCTCAAATGTCTAAGCTCAAGTGATCCTTCTGCCTTGGTCTCCTAAGGAGCAGGGGATTACAGGTGCAGTCCACTATTCCTGGCTACTGTAGACTTCAAGTGCAGTCTACTATTCCTGGTGTGGAAGTTCAATTTAAAGTCTGTGATAACTAATCTAGTAACTCCTAAAATGGGCATTTTCCATGTTACTCTTTTGGCATTTCAACAACTTTCTGCAGATGAACATGAAAAACAATGAACTACAAGAGCTCTAGTAAGGAAATTCCACCAGGTAGGAAAACTGTTTCCTTACTGTCTTCTACATTGACTTTTGTGTGTGTTGTGGGGAGTGGGGGGTGGGGTTGAGATAGAGTCTCACACTGTAGCTCAGGCTGCCCTGGAATTCATGATGTAACCCAGGCTAGACTTGAATTTGCCAGCACCCCTCCTGCTTTAGCCTCCTGTGTCCTGGAATCACAGACTTGAGCCACCACAGTCCTGTGCCTTTTTTTTTTTTTTTTTTTTTTTAAGATGTGTTACCCGGATCTTCCACATTCAAACAGTATATGAAACTCAAAGATGTGACGGGAGAGAAAACATCTGCATGTCCAAATTATCAATTTGTACAGAGTCTTGCAATAGCAGTGTTGTGTCATTCTGGATCAGGCTGCCAGTGGGCTGGGAGGTCCCCTTGCTCAACACTCTAACTCCTCCATGACTTCCATGACAATTGTCCTTGGGCCAGTCAGAATGAGGTTGCTCACGGTGCGGTAGTCTACATTTAGCACGTTGAGTCCATTGACAGAGACGACAAACTGACAGACCTGAAGGAATGACAGAGAGAAAAAACATCAGTTTGGGCTGGGGATTTGCTCATCTGATAAAGTGCCTGCCCATCATACAGGAAGTCCTAGGTTTAATCCCAAGTACCACATGAGTCAGACATGGTAGTACATGCTTAGAATACCAACACTTAGGAAGTGAAGGCAAAAGATCAGAAGTGTTCATTCTAGGCTACGTAGCAAGTTCAAGGCCAGACTGGAATGCATAAGACCTTGCTGCAAAACAAACAAAAACCTGTTATACCTGTCTATTTTTCTCAGAACTTTGTAGTGTGTGGCCCTAAGGGGTAATATCATTCTTGAAATAGCCAACCTCAACCAGCTGGCAACTATGATCCAATAATTTCTAAAAAGTCACTCCTTTTCAACAGGGCAGGGTAATGTTTAAAAAATCCTAACTCACGGGGCTGGAGTGATGACTCAGTGGTTAAGAGCACTGACTGCTCTTGCAGAGGACCCAGGTTCGATTCCCAGCATCCAGATGGTGGCTACAAACCATACTTAACTCCAGTTCCAGGGGAATCCAAAGCCCTCTTCTGACCTCCGCAACATTGCACAACACAGGTGCACTCAAATACATGCAGGCAATACACTTATACACAAAATAAAAATAATGAAATATTTAAAAAATAATCCTAACTCAAAACCTCATTAGCTTATGCTAGGTATTTAAAGTTCTAGGTTTTAGTTCTGTCACTTTATTTTTTTTTAAATTTTATGTGTATAAGTGTATATCCTGCATGTATATAAGTGTTGTGTAATGTCTGCGGGGGTCAAAAGAGGGTGTCAGATCCCGTGGAACTGGAGTTACGGTTGGCTGTTAGTCACCATGTGGGTACTGGGAATCGAACCAGGTCCTCTGCAAGAGCTGAGCCATCTCTCCAACCCTATTTTAGTCATTTGTAAGGCGCCTACCTCATATGATTGATGTAAGAATTAAGTGAGACAAAGTACACACGGCTTCTGTTATGCAGCACCAAACCTATGGGGATACAACACTTCTTGTAGCCACCCTGCTTACAGCTGTAATTAATTATTCATACAGACTCCACAGGTAGCATCCTGCCTCCTTGACACCTGGCACTCTGACACGATTATTAGTAGTGTCTCCTTACATTTACTTAAGTGTCCGACTGTGATGATAAACTCCACACATTTTCCTGCTTCCCGTCCTTAGGAAAATGGATGAGGAAGGTTAATGCATCATTCAGTTATGAGAGCCACTATCTCATAGTGAGTGCAGTAATCTGGGGTTCATTTATCTTAACAACAAATGGAAACTCATGAATACTTAAAAAATACTGTGTGGAGTGAACAGAAAGACTAGAGGTACAAGCTGGAAAGCACAGTGAGGACCGAGTCTGAAGACTTTCTAGCTCCTCATAAATGATCTTGACTCTTACTGGGCAAATAAGAAGATAAGATGGAGGGGGAACTGAGGAGATGGCTCAGTCTGTACAGTGCTGGCTGTGAACATGAGAACCTGGGTTTGATCTTCAGCACCTTTATAAAATCTGGGCGTGGCCAAGGCCTGTTTTAGTTACCCTAGAACAGATCCTTTGAAAAGAGAGGCTGTGGGGGCATTTGTGGCCTGTCAGTCTAGACAAAAATGGTCAACTCCAGATTCAATGAGAGACCCTGTCTCAAAAAATAAGGTGGAGAGTGATTGAGAATGACATTTGACATCAACCTCTGGCCCTACACACACACACACACACACACACCCCTCTGCCCCCCCACCACACACACACGAGAAAGAGAAAAAAAAGGAGAATGGAGGACTGAGACTGAGGAGATGGATCAGCCATGCAAGCATTAGGACCAGAGTTTGGATCCTTTAGAACCCTCAGAAATGCCAGGTAGATGTGATGGTGCATCTATAATCCCAGTGCTTGGAAGGAGGAAATGGGGAATCCCTGAGGCAAGCTGGTTAGCCATATCAACAAGCTCTGGGTTCAACTGAGAGACCCTGCATCAATGAATAAGAACGATCGAGGCAGGCTCCTGATGTCAATCTCCGGCCTCTACCTGCACACTCATACACACACATGCATCCCTGCAATGTGTCAGCACACATGCAAACATGAATGCCACACACACACACATACACATCCCCCATGTATAAAAGGAAGAAGGAAAAGACAGCCAGTGGGAAGAGGGGAAAGATGCGAGGAAGAGACAAAGGAAGGAAGGGAGGCAGATCTCATGGTTGGGATGGATTAATCTGGAAATATCTTCTTGTTCTTTGCTCTCGGCATCACAAGACTTTAAGTGCATTGCACGGATAATGAATGTGCATGCCTGCTCTGAACTATTAATTAATTTAGTGTTTAAAAGATTCAACTAAAGAATGTGGGAAATACTGAAACCTTCTGAAAACCCACCACTTCCTTTTTATTGTATTCTGGCAAGGTAGTATCAATTTGAACTTAAATACTGTATTAAGTCCAAAAATATCTATACCTATTGCCTAGATACACCAAAATTATAAAATATTAGAAGTATAGCTGGTGCTGTGTCTGAGAAAAAGTTATGATGGGATTCGGAATCCAAAGATTTGGATTTAAGTCCTAGACCCTTCAGATTGATGACCTTAAGTCCCTTCTCCTTTCATGTTTCATGCGATAAATATGCCTCATTAGGGGATGGGGATGTAGCCCAGTTGGTAGAATGCTTGTCTAGCATGTATAAAGCATGGGTTTGATCCCCAGCACCTTATAAACCCACCTTATAAACCCAGTGTGCGGTATGCACATCTGTAACCCCAGCACTTGGGAGGTGGAGGCTGGAGGATCAGAAGTTCAAGGTTATCCTTTGCTACATAGTGAGCTTGAGGTCAGCCTGGGGTACACGGGACTGTAATTCAAAAAATAAAAACAAACATTCCTCATTTGTAAAATAGACAGGTAAAAATGTCTATCAATACAAGTTCAAATTACATGATATATTTAAATCATCTTTGCAGATACTATGACCTACACAAATGCTGGACCTTACTAATTTCTTTCCCTTTAAAAAGCCATTTCCTTCATGGTCACATGCAAAACAGAGTTGAAAGTGGAAGGCACAAAGAGAATAGTTGTTTCCTCAGTAAACGCTTGCCGCTGCCATGAACCTCTAAATTTCCAATCTTCAATCACTGCTACAGGGGACTGACTATTACCTACTCTTGGAGAAGACAGAATCATCATTTCTCCTTTTCTCTTCCCAAAGTCTGTTATCACAGATCCAGGGCACATCTTGTATGTAACCAGCAGTTTTCAACTACTGTTGAGGTCATAGTGATTACTGAGGTCACGCTGCCTGGTCAAGACCCATCCACAACAGGAACATGAGCATTTGAAGGACATTTTACCACTAATTTAATGGAAGCATACTTCTGCTTTTTTTTTTCCCACCAAAAAATGAGAGGAATGTTACTCCCTCCCACCCAGAGTGTTGTACTTTAGATCTGGGTTTTTCTTTCTTCCAAAGGGAATGCCTTTGTGTTACCACACGGGAAGGCAGGAGTTGCCAGCTAACCCTTCACAGGCTCCCCAAGACTAGTTTTATCTCTGAATCACTCAGGGCTCACCTTTGTCATTTGGACTTTTTAAAAAATATTTTATTATTTTATGTATATGAGTGTAGTGCCTGCATATATGTAAGTGCATCATGTTGTGTGATGCCTGTGGAGGTCAGAAGAGAGCATCGGATTCCCCCAGAGCTGGAGTTAAGGACAGTTGCTAGCTGCCATGTTGGTGCTGGGAATTAAAGCTGGGTCCCCTGGAAGGGTAGCCAGTGCTCTTAACCACTGAGCCATCTCTCCAGCACCTGTCATTTGGTCTTAACCAGAGTTGTTCCTTGTCTGTCCCACATAGTTTGTCTAAACTGGCCAACATTTGAAAACTAGAAGTTTCACACAGAAATTCAGATTTGGGCCTCTCTTAGGGCAATGTGGAGATCTGATCATACCAGGTCTAGACAGCCATGTGGCAGACCCTATGAAACAGGGCAGGTGCCTTCTCATTTCCCACAGCCCTTTCTATGTTTTGCTTTTTCTTACACTTATCTGATGGCCACTTGAGTTTGTAGTGCTGGCCCAAGAAAAGCAGAGGTGAAGAGCTGAAAGGAGGGTGGCTTGAAAACTGAAAGACATTCATCCATCAACTGATGGCAAATTTAGTATATCCTTACAATGGAATATTATTCAGCAACAAAAGGAAACAAACCATCTGATACAACATGGATGAGCCTTGAAAATATGCTACAAGAAGCCTCTCTCTCTCTCTCTCTAGCAGAGAGAACCCATTCTGTAGAACCCATCTGTATAAAGTATTCAGACTATGCAGGACCATAGAGGGAGTAGATTACTGGGTACCTAGGGCTGGAGAACAGTGATGGAGGGGGTACAGGAGTGATTGCTAATAGGTAAGGGTTTTCTTTTGGGATGATGAAAATGTTCTAAAATAAATTGTGTTGTTAGTTGCATAACTGTGTCTATATTAAGAACTTTCTAGGGGCTGGAGAGATGACTCAGTGGTTAAGAGCACTGGCTGCTCTCGCAGAAGACCCAGGTTCGGTTCCCAGCACCCACACACATGGCAGCTAACAACTATCTGTGAGTACAGTTCCAGAGAATCTGACACCCTCTTCTGACCTCTGTGGGCACTGCATGACATGGGTGTACCTACCTACATCCAGGCAATACACTCATACACATTAAATAATATATATTTTTTAAAAAAAGAACTTTCAGCCGGGCGTGGTGGTGCACACCTTTAATTCCAGCACTTGGGAGGCAGAGGCAGGCAGATCTCTGTGAGTTCAAGGCCAGTCTGGTCTACATAGTGAGTTCCAGGACAGCTGGGGCTACAGGGAGACTCTGTCTCAAAGACCAAAAAAACAAAAGAACTTTCTAATTGTACACTCTACATGGGTGAGTTGTAAGGTATGTGAATTCTATCAGAACAAATTTTAGGACAAACAAATAAAATGAAATA